AATGCAGAGGAACTCAGAAAAATACACAACACAGATAATGAGAAACACAACTATGAACTCTATACCAGGCAGAGACTCTCGGCCCTATGCCAGTGTCTTGCACAACTATGTGCTCCGGAACCAAAACAGCTCAGGTTGTAGACACAAAAGATCAGAAAGGGAAGCAAGGCCAGAGACTAGGCGTGCCTTATAGCAAGGGACAAGATCGCACAAGACAAGACCCAATCACACTCTTAATGGGTATGGTGTTCTATTCTGGAGCGATGGTTTGGAACTAGACAGAGGTTGTAACTGAACAATTTAATTTTATGTTATGTGAATTCCACTTCCATTTAAAAAACAAAAAACGGGACTTCCCTTGTGATCCAGTGGTTAAGACTTCACCTCCCAATGCAGAAGGTGAGGGTTTGATCCCTGGTCAGAGAGCTAAGCTCCCACATGCCTCACAGCCAAAAAACCAAAACATAAAACAGAAGCAATATTGTAACTAATTCAATAAAGACTTTTAAAAAAGGTATGCATAAAAAAATTTTAATAAATAAAAAACAAGAAACCTTCCAAATCACATTAGCAATGAGTATATCTAGTACCCAAATGTTAATTTCTACACCATTCTTTATCAAAGGAACCTAACCAGTCCCCTTGGAGAAATGGCTAATTCTAGGACTAGAAAAGAAACAGAAAAGATGACCCAGAACAGCTCAGATGCAAGGACGAAGGCACTCATACAAAAGTGGAAGTGTGTCAAAGGGATAGAGGGCCAAGAAAAAGAGCTTCCAGAGCTGAAAAAATTTGGCCAATGAAATATATAAAGGAGTACTGGATTATCAATCCTGAATATTCATTAGAAGGGGTGCTGAAGCTGAAGCTCTGATACTTTGGCCACCTGATGTGAAGAGCCAACTCACTGGAAAAGACCCTGATGCTAGTAAAGACTGAAGGCAAAAGGAGAAGGGGAAAGCAGAGGATGAGATGGTTAGAGAGCATCACCAACTCAATGGACATGAATCTGAGCAAACTCTGGGAGATGGTGGAGGACAGAGGAGCCTGACATGCTGCAGTCCATGGGGTCGCAGAGAGTCAGACGTGACTTAGTGACTCAACAACTGGACTATAACCCATAAAGTAAAATAAATACCTAGCAGCCTATACTAATATAAATAAATGACTCAGTAAATATACAGGTGAGAACAGGCAAATCTCCTGTGCAGAAGCCAAAATGATTTACACAGCTACTGCACCCTTGAGGAGGTAGGGCGTAACTTCCATTCAGTAAGCTTCAGCTGCACATGGTGACTTTTCTCCAAAGAGCACAGTATGGAAAGGAGAAAAAAAGAGCAATTGTACAATGAAAAAATCTGACAAACACTACCTGAAGCCAAGTGATCAAGGTTAGTATAAACAGTGATAAATCATATTAATAGCATGTACCCTTTATGATGGAATGAGAATGGTATTTTACCTTCGTGGTCTTCCTTCCCAAAACACGTAATTCCAATCTAAACATGAGAAAAACATAACAAATCCCAACAGAGGGACACTGCAAAATATCTGACCAGTTCTCCTCAAAACTATCAATGTCATCAAAATTACAAGTCTAAGTCAAGAGGAGCCTAAAGAGACATGACTGTAATGTGGCCTCCCAGATGGGATTCTGGAAAAATAGAGATTAGGGGAAAATTGAAGCTATCTGAATAAAGTATGGCTTTCAGTAAATAATGTATCACTATTGATTTATTAATTGTAACAAATGAACCATAAAAAAATATTAGAATAGGGAAAACTGGGTACAGTGTATAGAGAAACTCTCTGCACCAGTTTTGCAATAATTCTGTAAAACTATTTTAAAATTTAAAGTTTAAAAACATGAAACAAAACATTAACAAAAACTAAGAAAAACAAAAGAGCACAAGAGTCAACCTGAAAGAGCTCCCAATGCCCAAACTGGGATCAATTTGAGCAAAATTAAATAAATATCAGAGTATAAACCATAATATAAACACCCATGAGTCCATTCTGATATAAATGATGGAAATACATAAATAGGGGGAAAGAGGCATTTTTCCTATAGAATTCCAAATAATACATGTAAATAAACCCCCGCTTTGGAATTTGGGCTTAATCCCCACCAACTAGTAGGTGATGAAAGATTAACTTCCACAATGATGTTTATATCATGTACACTCTGGTATGATTTGATAATAAAGGTACTAATCATAAGAAAATAGCAGAAAAATCCAAACTGAGAATTTGTGACTAGTACTCTTCAGAAGCATCAGTCACGAAAAACGAGGGAAGACTGAGTAACTCTCATAAATCACAAGAGACCTAGGAGACACGACAACTAAATGCAATGTGGTACCTTGGACTGGATACTGGGATAGAAAGGTACATTCATTAGAGGAAAAGCTGGTGAAATCTGAATGAAGTTTTGCATTTACTGAATAGCAAAGTGCCAATATCAATTTCCTAGCTCTGACAAATGAACACTATGCTGTGTGATAACTTAGGAGAATGCTCTATGAACTCACTTTGCAACTTCTCTGAAAGTCAAAAAATATTTAAAAATTTAATAAATTAAAAACCATCCAATGCCTCCCCACTGTATTTAAATAAAACCCATCAGGCCTCAAAGGTTCTGGACAATGTACCTAAAGTCAACCTTTCCCATCTCATCCCATATTAGACCAGTCTCTCCCTCCCTGACAATATTTCATCTACACTAAGCTCCCAGTTTTTTTCAACTCTCCCAACTCATCACCAAACTCTTTCTCTTGCCATGAGATCTGTGGCAGACTATAATCCAAAGACGGCAGCAAGACCTGCCATCCCACATACTCTTCAGGAACCCAGCCACTTCCCATTAAGAGGAGGAACCTTAGTTTCCTTTATTTAAATCTGAGTGCAAATGTGAGTTCCTGAAAATCAATAGTAACTCCTTTTTCTTTACCCTGTATGATTCAGAAGTGAATTAATTAAAACAAGAATTACAAATCTATGTTAAGGGGTACACAGTGCATTAAGTTGTATTTTAGAACAATAACAACAAAAAGGGATGGAATGGTACCCTTCAATATTTTTGAATCCTATTCGAAACTAAATTAATATCAATTGGGCTGTTAATAAATTAAGATATTATAACTCTCAAAGCAACCATTAAGGGCTTCCCAGGTGACATAGTGGTAAAGAATTCGCCTGCAATTCAGGATATGCAAGAGATGCAGGTTTAATCCTTGGGTAAGTAAGATACCCTGGAGCAGGAAATGGCAACCCACTCCAGTATTCCTGCCACAAAACTGCACGGACAAAGGAGCCTGGTGGGCTACAGTCCATGGAGTCGCAAGGAGTCGGACACGACTGAGTAACTAACACTTTCACTTCTCACTTTCACCTACTATACAGTAGGCACCATTCTTTTTTTAATGATTATTTGTTTATTTATTATTTATTTTGGCTATACTGGGTCTTAGTTGTGCCACGTGAGACTTCTTAGTTACAGCATGCACGCAGGACCTGGTTCCCCAACCAGAGATCAAATCCAGGCCCTCTGCATTGTGACTGCAGAGTCTTACCCACTGGACCAGAGAAGTCCCAAATGCTGGCCTTTTCTGATCCAGGAAAACAGTAAAAGGCAGGAAACTGACCAATTACAGACACCTGTTGTATCATTTGAATTATTTACCACATGTATGATTTACTTTTTCATAAAAAGTAAAATTTCCAAAAGTTTTTCATGTCTTCTGAATAAAGAACTGAGGTGAAGAGTGATAACAAATATTTCTTGAAAAGAAGATTTTTTTTTCTTAATATTTACTTTTATTTGGCTGCAACAAGTCTTAGTTGCAGCATGCAGGATCTTCAACTTTCATTGTGGCATGTGGGATCTAGTTCCCTGACCAGGGATCGAACCTGGACCCCCTGCAATGGGAACTCGGAGTCTTAGCCACTGGACCACCAGGGAAGTCCCAGAATATGGATTAACCCCCTCAAGCCATGCCAACTGGTATGGAAGAGGTTCCTAACCTGGGATTCTCAAAGGTTTCTATGCAGGTCAGTGGGAAGGGGTAAAAAGGAGATCATAGCCATATACACAATAAAAGCCTCAGCATATCCTAATATACACAGTGTGTTTTAGAAGCAAAATTTTTCAATGATCACTCTTCATCTGTTAAGATTTTACTGTGTTCCACATACAGTGCTAAGTTCCTCTCAAGTACAATCTCACTGAACTCCAGATGAGATAAGCATTGTATTATTATCCCATGTCACATGAGAAAATCAAGGCACAGATAAATAATAAAATAACTACTCAAGTTCACACAACTCTGAAAAAATGGAGCGGGAACTTAGACCAGAGTTCTTCTGACTCCAAATATTCTATACCACCATTTTTTGGATTTTTTCACATGATCCCCACAGAATGACATAATCTTGGCAGATTAAGGAGCCAAGAGTGACTCCTCAGAGCCTACTAGAAGGTAATGATGTTTTCTAAACTCCAAATGCTGTCAGTGAAAGTGAAGTCGTGTCCAACTCTTTGTAGCCTACCAGATTCCTCCGTCCATGGAATTCTCCAGGCAAGAATACTGGAGTGGGTTGCCATTTCCTTCTCCAGGGGATCTTCCCGACCCAGGGATCAAACCCAGGTCTCCCACATTGCAGGCAGACACTTTAACCTCTGAGCCACCAGGGAAGCCCCTGAAGGCAAAAAATAATCTGACAAGCTTGAAAAAAAAAATGGGGGTCCATGAGGGTTTCTCAGGTAAAACAAAGTGAGAAGATAGGTAGCTGAGTCAATGTCATCAAACCAAAATGTTAGACAGATCTAGAGCAGTTTTTCCTAAGCAAATGGTTCTTTCCACCTTCCCTAACCCTTTAGTCTACAATTCCTAGGGTACATGAGAGAGAACCAGAGAAGTATTACAGTCCACAACAGAAACTGGGCTGGGAAATTAGGGAAAATCTCAGAGACACTCACCAAGGCAAAAATGAGGTAAAAGTAGATAAAAATGAACTACTTTAGGTAAATTTAATGACTGTAAAAGCTGTTCACAAAGCAGCAAATAAATGCATTTTCCATTTCATAGAAAGTTGCTTCACCACTTGAGGCTTGGCTCCAAAGCTTCATCTTTCATTAGTGACCAGTCCTATTTCTCTTGCTGCCAGAAAGGACTGACGCCAACCACTAAGGTCAGCAATATGCTGTGGAGTCCTTTAGAGTGGTCTTGCGGAGAACATGTCCTTTAAGTGTCTGAGAACTGGCTGAGGTGATCTGAAAGAAAACCAATCAGAAGAAGGCAAGGTAACTGAGACTGAACTACAGGGACTTAATGTGAATGGTCCAAAGGAGAGGCCACCAAATGGAATCTAATGGGAGATGACAGGCCAGCATCTCGAGGCTGCACGGTTTCCTCTACACCCTCAGAGACGTCTGATACAATACTGATGTATATAATTTAAGAAGTCCAAAACAGGTCAGTCCCAGACAGCCACTACTCCCTTTTCTCTTGGGAGATGGTCTTCCACAGAGCCAACCACAAGGTTTATGTACAAGCTGCCTAACACAGACATGTGTGCGTGGTAAGTCACTTCAGTCGTGTCTGACTCTGCAACCCTATGGACTGCCAGGGTCCTCTGTCCATGGGATTCTCCAGGCAAGAATACTGGGAGTGGATTGTCATGTCCTCCTCCAGGGGATCTTCCAGACCCAGGGATCAAACCCGAGTCTCTTGCATCTCCTGCACTGGCAGGCGGGTTCTTTACCACTAGTACCACCTGGGAAGCCTACCACAGACGCTGCCCTCCCAACCCCAAAGGCAGCTGTGATCCAGGCTGTACCAGTCAAACACCTTCCTAAGACATTTATTGTGCCAAGATGCATTACTACAAACAAAGCTAGTGTATGTGATGGAATTCCAGTTAAAAAGTGCTGCACTCAATATGTCGGCAAATTTGGAAAACTCATTAATGGCCACAGAACCGGAAAAGGTCAGTTTTCACTCCAATCCCAAAGACATGCAATGCCAAAGAATGTTCAAACTACTGTAAAATTGCACTCATTTCACATGCTAGCAAGGTAATGCTCAAAATCTTTCAAACTAGGCTTCAGCAGTATATGAACCATGAACTTCCAGATGTTCAAGCTGGATTTAGAAAAGGCAGAGGAACCTGAGATCAAATTGCCAATGTCCGCTGGATCACTGAAGAAGCAAGGGAGTTCCAGAAAAACATTTATTTCTGCTTTATTGACTATGCCAAAGCCTTTATGACTGTGTGGATCACAATAAACTGTGGAAAATTCTGAAAGAGATTGGAATACCAGACCACCTGACCTGCTTAAGAAATCTGTATGCAGGTCAGGCAGCAACAGTTAGAACTGGATATGGACCAACAGACTGGTTCCAAATAGGAAAAGGAGTACGTCAAGGCTGTATATTGTCACCCTGCTTATTTAGATTATATGCAGAGTACATCATTAGAAACGCTGGGCTGGAGAGAGCACAAGCTGGAATCAAGATTGCCGGGAGAAATATCAATAACCTCAGATATGCAGATGACACCACCTATATGGCAGAAAGTGAAGAACTAAAGAGCCTCTTGATGAAAGTGAAAGAGGAGAGTGAAAAAGTTGGCTTAACGCTCAACATTCAGAAAGCAAAGATCATGGCTTATAGTCCCATCACTTCATGGCAAACAGATGAATAAACAGTGGAAAGAGAGGCAGACTTTTATTTTGGGGGGTTCCAAAATCACTGCAGATGGTGACTGCAGCCATGAAATTAAAAGACACTTACTCCTTGGGAGAAAAGTTATGACCAACCTAGATAGCATATTAAAAAGCAGAGACATTACTTTGCCAACAAAGGTCCATCTAGTCAAGGCTACGGTTTTTCCAGTAGTCATGTATGGATGTGAGAGTTGGACTATAAAGAAAGCTGAGCGCCAAAGAATTGATGCTTTTGAACTGTGATATTGGAGAAGACTCTTGAGAGTCTTGGACTTCAAGGAGATCCAACCAGTCCATCCTAAAGGAAATCAGTCCTGAATATTCATTGGAAGGACTGATGTTGAAACTGAACTCTAATACTCTGGCCACCTGATGCGAAGAGCTGACTCATTTGAAAAGACCCTGATACTGGGAAAGACTGAAGGAGGGAGGAAAAGGGGAAGAGAGGATGAGATGGCTGGATGCCGTCACTGACTCAATGGACATGAGTTTGCGTAAACTCCGGGAGTTGGTGATGGACAGGGAGGCCTCGCGTGCTACAATCCATGGGGTTGCAAAAAGTTGGACACAACTTGAGTGACTGAGCTAAACTGATGAAGATAAAATGGGCTAATGTAAACAGTGACAAGAGCAAAGCAGAGAGAAGATGCTTTCAGCACTAGTGAGTTTTTCAAGGAGGTGACATTTGAGAGAAGTTGTAAGGTTTAAAAGAAGGCAGCCAGGCAAAAATCAAGACCCTCCTAAGTGACACAGCATTTTCAAAGTCCCTAACACTAGAACAAAGTCTGAGAGGCAAAAAAAGAGGCCACTAAGACTAGAGGAAAGAGAATAAAAAGAGGTCAGAGGACATGAGGTTGGAAAGGTAGCTGGGAAAGACCATAAAAGGCCTTGGACACCCTGCGACTCCAATGAGAAACCACTGGAGGGCTTAGGCAAATGAGTGAGTGATCTGATTTAGAAGATCAAACTGACTGCTATGGGGCAGGAAGACTAGAGGAGGGCAAGAATGAAAGCAGGAATACAAAGCCTCTGAAGTACTCAGGTACTGTGGGTGGCAGTGCAAAACAGTATAATCATTTTGGCTCTTTCTACTATATATACCCAGTAAACCATATACCCCATAGAAATGCACTGTAACACATACATAGCAGCTCTATTTGTAATAGTTCCAAACTGGAAACAACCAAAATGGCCATCAAAAGTACAACATATAAATTGTGGTATATTCACATACTATGGATAAATATTATCATAGATGAACTGTACAACATCCATGTTATCAAAAATCTACACTGTATGATTCAATTTTATATCAAAAACAAGAAAAACTGAACTATGGTATTAAAAATTAGGATGGCAGGAAGAAGAGATGGTAGGAACATGAGGGGGGGGGTTTGGAGGTTCTGAAAATACTGTTTTTTGATTCAGGAGGCAGTCACACAGGTAGGGTCACTTTGTGATGATTCATCAAGTAGTAAGTACACTTTTGAGCAATTTTCTACATTTATGATATGCTTCAATAAAATAATTCACTTTCAAAATACAGAAACAGAAAACCTGTGAAAAGGTTGCACTAATCTAAGCTAACCAAGATGACAGCTTAGAGAAAGAAAGAGATCCAAGATACATTTCACAGGTGGAGCTGAAACAGATGAACTACTGATGGGGAGTACAAGAAAATAAATATCTAGGATGATGCCTATATTTTTGGTTTTAGCAACTGAGTGGTGCTATTTGCTAAGATGGAAGAGACTTCAAAAGAAGAAAATTGCAGGAAAGTGGGAAGAATTTGTTCTATTTTGGCCACATTAAGTTTAGGACACAAGAAAGAAAGAAGAAAAGTGCAAATCTGGAGAGGATATGAAGGGATGGAAGCAAAAAGCACAAGCAGCAGTGTGACAGAAGATGCAGACACTTCCTACACAGCCCACGTGAGCAGACAGCAGGGACAGGCAGAGATGCGTGTGAGTGGGTGCTAACAACGATGAGACGGTGAGATGTCACATGACGGCATCTATTTTCTCTACACAAGATGAGACAAAGACATCAGCTAAGACTAGGATTTAAAGACATGAGTGAAGATTCAGGGAGAACGAAGAGGGGAAAAGCCAATTTATTGGGAAAATACTGTAAAATTAGGATTTCAGGGCCATGCTGAGTGTTCAATTTGAACTTTATGGCATAAATGTGAACTGAGTGCAGTTGGTTTCTGTGAAGAGACTGTCTCTTGTCCCCCAATAGTTCTCTTCCTCCTCAGTAACAGAATTCCCAATTTTTAACTGGGCACATGGTCATTCGGAATGAAGACTGTACTTCTCAACTTCTTTGCAGCCTTTGTGTGAAACTTCTGTAAAGTGTCTTGAAAGGAATAAGGCATGCGCTTCACCTCTCTTCCTGCTTCCTACAAGCGAGGATATGGACATGGTTGCTGCAACAGCCATCCTGAATCATAAGATGACCTTGAGAATGGAGGCCACACAGAAAAGAGCAAAAGACAGAAGCAGTCAAGACCCTTGGTGATCATGGAGCCATCATAGTCACCAGCCCTGGATCTTCCATATATCTAGATTTTTATGAGAAAAAGAACGTCTGCTTATTTAAGCCAATGTATTCTGAGTTTTCAGTCACCATCATCGGACCTAACCTATGTCATACAGATTAACTGGGTGCTCTTCCCCAACAATATTTAGCTGTTTTCACGCAGATACAAAGTAAGCAGATAATCATTTTCACCAAGGTTGGAGTCTAGACAAGTAAGCACCACAAAAGAAAGGGCAAGAAGAAAACGGAATTTATGAGGAAATGGTTCTAGTACAGCCCAGAGACTCTAAGTGGAGAAAGATGAGAACAGCAGATACAAGTGACAGAAACAGCCAACAGACCCCTGGCTTCACAGTTTCTCCTTTATTTTGCTCCCTCCACTAAATCTTACTTGTCGGGTTTATTATGTCACTTTGGAACAACTTAAGATCACCTTTCTTTCTTGAAAAATGGAACTTTTTCCATTTTACAGAAGAATATCATACTAACATTTTAACCCAACCCACTAACCTCATCCCTTTTATCTATAGTAGAAAGGGAATAGGAAGAGGTATGAAAAAGCAACGGAAAATCAAAGAAGCAAAAATTCAGAAAACAAAGAAGAAAACAAGGCAGTGTCAGAAAGAAAGAAAGAACAAGTGGAAAAGCCTGAGAGACTGTTTCCACATCAGTCAGGTTGCTACCTAGTAGGAATTTCTCCCCTGAGGAAACCTCTAGGCAACGCTGAAAGTAAGACAATCCCCTGTCCGAACAGGCCAGAAAGGCATGAGACCACGGAAGTCCCCAGCCTGCAAAATCACTGTTTCTGTCCGATGGACAGAACAGAAAAGTTCTGAGCGCTGGTAAAATTTCCAGGCGAATCTACAGAAGTTACACACCAAGGAAATGAGACTCCTTCTACTGCATACCATGAACCATGGCTCCTACGATTCAAGAGGAAAGTGAAGTAACAAGGACGGAAGAGTGGAGGGTGAGGCACTAAGGAACAGCACAGAGGAGATAACTCTGAACATCAGCAGAAGAATCACCCTCTCGCCACCTCTCTCTTTTGCAGATGCTTCAGAGATCAGTGTTGGAAAAATACTTGTGCTCCTGCCCACCTCATCAGCACATGTCCTGCCAGCCTCTGGCACTGGGGCAAAGTGGAAATGAGGGGAAAAAGGGATGATGGCAGTGGCAGACCTGTGGTAGTATGAGAAGGAAAAGAAGAAAGAAGAAACTCAGGAAGGGGGAATATCTTCAGTGAAATGAGAGGAAAAAAGGAAAAAATCACACAGCCATTCAACTAGACCTATAGTCCAGGGACGGAATGCAGAAAAGTTGTAAGCTAGGAACATCTGGGGCATCAGAGACCTCGAAGGGAATGCTTATCTCTGCCAGAGAGAACTATCAACTCACATAAGAACTTACTCTTCCTGGCCTCTCTCCAACAGAAAACTATCTGTTACTGTTATTCCAACCTCACTAAATTCCCAGAAATAATCTTTTCAGGGCAGGAGAGAAGAGAATAAAAACAGAAGGCCTAGTTAAGAGTAGTTTAAAATTTAATTCAAGTACCCTTACATTGGTGGAGTTGAGAAGAGATTTTTATCTTACTAAAGAATTTCTCCAGGAAAAAAACTTCATTCCCTCAAATTATCCAATCCAACTCCCATTTCACAGCACAAGTCAAAAGCACAAAAAGAACTCCTTACCTTCACCAGCACATAGTCCCCAGGCTGAGCTCGAACCCTGAGCCCAGAGTCGGTGACATCCTCCACCTCTACATCAGGAAATATCACCTTAAGGTTTCCATCATTCCGGCCACACAGGTCAGTAGCAGAGCGTTTACTGGGCTGCAAAAGAATAGATGAGAGGTTACAAATTTGTCAGTCATCAGTTCTTGGTGTGTCTCAGATCCCCAAGGGTCTGAGCCATAGACCACTTTTTAACCAAAGAATCACCTAAGACTAAGTGCTTCACTGCTGCTTTACACAAGGTCAGTAAATGGCACATGACAGAAACTCAATAAAGTTTTGCTGACAATATGTCAATGTAATAAATGTCTCAATCAATGAGTCTTTGATTACAGAATTACCTTTCTCAGGACTGAACCTCCAACAGGCTTGATGCCAATGGCATATGGGTGATATATTTTGTAAAATGACTCTCACTTCACAGAGTCTCATAGCAATCACCCGGGAATGTTCTCGGATTGTTTGTCCTAGGTTACGTGTCTCAGTGAATAGGAGACTGGAAGGCAGAGCCTCCATTGTAACATGTAAACGACTGGGCCAGGAGAATAATAAAATCAGTATGCAGTACGCAGTTCTGGGTATTAATTCCCAGAACATACACAAGCCTTTCTCTTCCAGTCATGAGGAAGTGACAAGAACAAAATTCATCCTCAGGCCTTAAATAACCAGGAAATCAGACAAAATATATGAAAAACCTATTTTCTGATATCGGACAACAGACTGTGCAAAACTATGATCCCCAAGAGAAGAAAACAAATGGAGAGAATCACCCCTGCATTCTACCAGAGGACACGTGCCAGAGCAGAGAACACAAAGCCGGGAGGGAGACCGCAAGGCAGAACATGGCGGTTCCCTCTGAACTGAGGAAAGATGGATCAAAGTCCAGGGAACCTGCAATAGCTAGAAACTGTAGAGCAAGTTCTAGAGAAGAGGGGCTGAAAATCCATGAAGTCACTCAAAGAACTGATTAGCTGAAAACTGTTTAGCTCCCAGATCTCACACTGGGCTGGGAATCATTTGATCTAGCAACAAATAGTCCTCATTCATTCCTTGGGACACGCAGCAGCGATTCTAGAAATCTACAGCCATACCTAGCACTAAGGCCAAATTTTTCCTAGAATTAAAAAAAACTTTTCTAGCAAAGATTAAAAACAAACCTAAAAGGATCAAACAAAACCACGAGTAATGAGACTGCTTATTAAAACAAAGCCCAACACAAATCCCAGACATTCAAAAATAATGTCCAACAATACAATGTCCAACACCCAATCAAAAATCACTAGATATGCCCAGAAGCAGAAAAATGACTCATAATCAAGAAAAAAATTAATGAAGCAGACCTAGAAATGATGGCAATGATGGGATTATCACAAAGATATTAAATCAGCTATTTTAATTAAGTTCAAATACTAAGTTTCAAAAGAAAACAAGATCACAGGAGAGAAATACTAGAAGATGTTTTAAAAAAAAACAAATGTAACTTATACAGATGAAATATACAACATATGAATGTTTTAATTCAATACATAATAGCAAATGAGACACTGTCAAAGAATAACAAAACTGAAGACAGAATAATAGAAACTGAATTATTCAAAGTGAAGCACAGATATTTAAAAAAAAAAAGACAGGGAAAAAAAAATGAACAGCCTCAGTGACCTATGACACAGTATCAGGTGGTTGGACATACGGATGATTAGGAGAGAGAACAAAGGGGAGGAGGTGGCAGAAAGCAGGAGGGATACAGAAAAATATCTGAAGAGTAGTAAACGAAAATTTTCCAAATCTGATGAAAAGTATAAACCCACAAATTATGTAGCCTCAATATACCCCAAACAAAACCATGCCAAACACATTAAATTTCTAAAAAGTGATAAAATGACAACACAACATGTGATACTGAACTGAATCGTTTTCTTATAAATGACAGTTCTTAGGTAAGTGGAGAAACTTAAGTGGGGTCTAAGGACTGGATGGTAATAATCTAACAAGTTTAATTTCTGACTCTGCTGGTTGTACTATAGTTATTTAGAAGAATGCTCCTGTTCGCACAAAATAAACACGTTAATGTTTGGGGAATTGGAGCATCAGAGCAACTTATTCTCAAATGCTTCAAAGAAAAAAGTTCTTTGTACTATACTGCTACTTTTCTGCAAGGTTTGTGATGGCTTTACAATAAATTTTTTAAAAGAGACAGCATTCATGTTCCATGATTTGAACCAACCAACCACAAACATTTATAAGGCAAACAGGGAAACTGGAACATTGACTAGATATATGAAAATAAGAAGAAACTACTGCTAGGACTTTCCTGGTGGTCCAGTAGCTAAGACTGCACTTCCGATGCAGGGGGTCCAGCTTCGATCCCTGGTCAGGGAACTAGATCCCACACACTGCAACTAAGAGTTCACATGTCACAACAAAGATCGAAGATTCCTTGTGCTGCAACTAAAAATCCACATGCCACAAAAAAAAGAACCTGCATGCCAGAACAAAGACTGAAGATCCCAACTGAGTCCCCAGAGAGCCAAATTAATTAAATAAAATTAAATTTCATTTAGTTATTATAAATAAAATAAAGACCAAAAAAAATTATTTTGGTTCAAATAATTATCATGTGCTCTCTGTGGGGTCAATGAAGTCATGGATTAGTAACCTCTGAGTACTTATTCATTCAGTCAAAAGACAAGTACACTATTCTGTACCAGATCTTGTGTGAGGAGAGCTGGGGATACAGTAAGACCTAATTCCTACTGGACATTATAAGGATTGCTAATAGACATGTTCATGTATGGAGATCTTCAGAATCATAGCTGATACCCTAAATAGCAAAGGACTTATCAAGGCAAACACTTTGGGGATATTTCACCAGCTCAGTATCATCAACCAACAGCAACTGCTGGACCAGACCATAAGAAGATCCCTAACCCAAGCTGAGCGGATCAGACTCCCTCGCCAAGAAATTTTAATTGGAGCTGAAAAACACAACGTTGGTCTGTGAATAGCTGAACTATATACCACAAGACACAGAACTACATGGCTGTTGTACTCTGCCACACAGATGAATCAGGAAAAGCTGACCTGAGGAGGAGAGAAGTAAGTCTGAGCCTCAAGGGCTTCCCAGATTGGGTACAGTCCCCTCCAGACACCTGGCAGTATTCTTAACCTTGGGCTCCACAATATACTCCTGAAGTCTTACACAAAGCAGAATTACTTTTGGCTTGAACAAATTTCCCACAGTTACTCATTACTGGAGAGTCCTAACAAACACCAAACAATTGGTGCTTCTGAAGCTGCCATATCCTAAGGCATAGAGCAGGACTCTCCTTTCTCAACTCAGGACTTGGGAAGAGTCACAGAAAGGGTGCTGCCTCTCTCCTTCCCCTTCTCTTCAAGAGCTGAAACATGAAGTTTCACAGAAGGTCAGGTTCCCTAACACCCCTTATCCTAACTGTTTAGTGCTCGAAATGATGACTAGGTTCCCAAGCTTGACCATGGAAGACTACAGAAGCCCAAACTTTCTGAAATGCAGTATATTTCTAAGACAGTGTGATTTTTTAAAGGACTGAAAACAGACAATAAAATTGGTACTCAAAATACACACATGATACTGCTTCCAGAAAGATGCAGCAGAAAAACTTTTCCCTAATCCTTCCACTAAATACAAAACATCCTTTGGGAATGAAGAAATCAACATTCTAAGATGAAGGAAAACAAAGAGAATCTACTACCAGAATGTCTGTTAAAGGAAGTTCTCTAAGCAAAAAGGAAACAATAAAAGAAGGAACCTGGAACAACAAGAAGAAACAAAAAACCAATAATATGATAACCTCTAAGAAAATCCCAAGGAACCTACCCAAAAAACTCCTACGACTACTGAGTCCAGCAAGATTAAGGGCTACAATATAAAAATCAATTATTTTTTTAAAAAATCAATTATTTCCACATACTAACAGTGAACACATGTACACCCAAATGAAAAATACAATAGCAACTACAATAGCTAAAAAAAAAAAGGTATAAATCTAACAAAACATGTACAAGACCTATATGCTAAAAACTTTAAAAACTGCTAAAATAAATCAAAGATTTAAATAAAGGGAGATATACTGAGCTCTAAAACACAAAAAGACAAACAAACAAAAAATATACATATACACATAGCCTCACCCCCTCCACCAGCACCAGTTGGGTACAACCCACAAAGGATTTGTTGGCTTTTGTTGCTTCTTCTCGGAAGACAGTGATAAGTTCCTCCAAACGCCTTAATTTTACCTCTTCGGGAATATCATCCTTCAGCCTGTGATATGCTCGTGTCTTCTGTTTGAAAAAAGAGAGACGGAGGTCACCAAGGACTTGTAGAATCCATTTTTAAGGCAGACATGCTCATCCAATTTGCAATTTACAGACACATGTACAGGAACTCAAGCCACACCACAATGGTTCTCTAGTTCAGAGGCCTTCTAAGAGAAAAAGGTGCAACAGAGTCACATTTTTACAAGGGTTAAACTCTAAATTTAGCACATGAAAATCATAGACTCAAAATTATTCTTGATATTTTTATAGCACATATATATTAAATAATTCATATACCAGGTTTCTGAGCAGCATTATAAAGACACAAGATGCAAAGTAAACGTTTATCAATAAGTAACCTGTGAAATAAATTGTGGTTTATCTACACAATGGAATATTACACAGCTGTGAAAAAGAATGAGATAGCTCTGTATATACAGATGTGATTGCTCTCCAAAATATACTCTGAGCAGAAATAAGCAAAGTACAGATCATCATGTATAGTAAGTTTGATATAGAAAGGATACTTATAAATACATGAAATATCTCTGGAAGGTTACAGAATAAGTTGCTAAGAGCAGTTGCCTTCAGGGAAGGAACTGAAAAACCAGGCAATCTAAGAAAAAAAAAACAACTACTTTGCACTGCACACTATTTTGATCTTTTGAATTCTATACCATGCACATGTATTACCTAGTCAAAAAATAAAATAATATTTATCCTTGAAAAGCTTTTAAATCATCCCAAATCATAGTGTACATACATCTTTATATATAAATATATTCATACACACACGTTTATACATATCTTTATTAACACAAGCTCATAATACAGCTGGAGAACCACGGAACTAAACAAAAGAGGAAAGTCTATACACCAAAGTCTAGACATTCAAACCAATCTGCCTAACTCTAATCCTCTAAGAGAGGATTACCAAAGAGAACTACCAAATGGATTACTAAGAGAACTACCAAATCCAGAGGAAAATGAAGAATGGGTAGAGAATTCTAAAACAGAATTCTTTTACAGGGCTTACTCTAATTCTGTCTTATTATTACCAATAATAATTTACCTCTATTGTGCACTCAACTACTATATAGCACTATTTTAAGTGCTTTATACATATTTAATTTAGCCAATATATTACTTCAAAACAACTGATACGGTTGGTATTAATGTTATTCCCTTTCACAGATGAAGAAAAGACTTTTCCCAAGGTCACAAAGCTATTAAATGGGAGAGGCACAATCTGATTGTTCTTACCCACAATGCTACCTGATGAAGTCTCTATAACTTTCACTCTAATCTAGGAATTATTAAATAGACTCCTAAATCAACATTCAAGCAATGCCTGTAGGACATGCTTCCTTCCACCACACACTGAAACTCATTTCCGACTCTAGAGTTAAAGAGAAATTTCTCTTGCATATTTGTGACACCCACAGAAATGAAGCAAATTGGAAGCCAACAGCTCCTCCGATGCTTTATCCCTGAAACAATTCTGTAACAGACATCAATACACACACTGGCCCACTTACACTGTCTATAGAACACTTGGCAGTGGGCTTTAAGAGACATGAATTAGCTTGGTTGATGAGAGACAGCTAAGTGACATTCATGGCTCAATCATTCATCAGACAGCTCTTCCCTGACCATGGAAGCCCCTCAGTCTCCAGCCCAAACACAAAGCAAGTGACCCCTGAGGTGACTGGGAAGATGATAAGTAACCCAAGCAATTCATTACTGCTATCAAGAAAACAGCAGGCAACCAAGACCATTCCTCTCTGCAAGAAATATGCATTACTCGCCCTTTTCTTTCTCATCTCCTGCTTTGTTTTCCTGGGAATTGTGCTATAGGAGAAACTCTAAAGCAGAAATCATCAGTGGGTTTACTTGGCCTAGAAAAATGGAAATTAAAAATGACCGAGGATGAGACTTCCCTGGTGGTCCAGTGGTTAAGAATCCTCCCTGCAAGGCAGGGGACATGGGTTCAATCCCTGGTCAGAGAACTAAGATCCCACATGCCGCAGAGCAACTAAGCCTGAGTGCCACAACTACTGAGCATGTGAGCCACAACTAGAAGAGTTCATGTTCCACAACAAAGATCCCGTGTGCCACAACCAAGACCGAACGCAACCAAATATATAAATACTAATAAATATTTTTCTTAATGGTTGAGGATGGCTGGGAGGGCAACAAGGAGCTTCCGTAAAACAAATCATATCTGTAGGCCAAAAAAGAAGTTATGCATGTTAGTAAAGGATTTGCAGTTTCTTTTAAAGAGAACGGTGTCCCTCCTTGCACTTTCAAATTCTAAACAATAACTTTAAATATTCTAATAAAGGGTGGACTCGGTGATAAAAGAATCTGCCTGCCAATACAAGAGACACAGGTTCAATCCCCGATCCAAAAGATCCCACATGACATGAGACACCTAAGCCCACGGGTCACAACTACTGAGCCTGTGCTCTGGAACCCAGGAGCTGCAACTACTGAAGCCAAACACCCTATAGAGTCCATGCTATACAGTGAGAAGCCTGTGCACAGCAACTAGAGGGTAGACCCTGCTCACCACAACTACAGAAAAGGCCGTGCAGCAACAAAGACCCAGCACAGCCAAAAATTAATTAACCGATTAATTTTTTAAAATATTCTAATAAAGAGGAATAGTAGCAGAAGCAGTTGTTTTCCATCTCAAGTTGCTGAACTGCATAAAAGAGTAAATAGGTTTATTAGAAAAAAATAATGAATGGTTAAGATCCCTGTGGTTTCTCAAGAAAAGCCTTGCTGTCTCTTTCCTTTCTTCCAGCAGTTCACAGTCAATCAGAAACTGGTCAGGAATGATGTCTCAGAATTAGAAAGAGCTGTTTCCCCCAGTCCAGGACTCACCTGTCTCATGCTATAGGCAAAGAGGAAGCCTATGTTGTACTGAACTTCCCGAAGCAAAGACACTGTCTGAAGGTGATCTTCCTCCGTCTCCCCACAAAAGCCAGCAATGAAATCACTGCTGAGGCTCACACCTGTGACATATGACAAATGACAGCATGTTACTGCCTCTTACCTTCAAGAGAGGCCGTTGGCACTTGGAGATTTCAGAGGGAGAGACAGTAACTGTACAGCCTTTTCAGGAGCTATTTAACCCATGTGCAAATGAAACAGAACAATCAATCCAGAGCAAGGAGGGATATGAATGCTCACTGACAAGATTCCCAAGCCAAAGCCCGGCTTCTCAGTCTACATTCCCCTCAGCTTCATACTAGAAAAGGTATTTTTCACTTCAAACATTGGATTGAGGGACAGGGACACAGTAAGAGTTCATATTTTCAAATCTGTCCTGCTTTTACTTTTTTTTTTTTTACTCTTTTATTTTATATTGGGGTATAGCTGACTTACAATGTTGTCACTTTTAGGTGTACAGCAAGGTGATTCAGTTATACACATACATATATCTACTCTTGTTCAGATTGTTTTCCAATATAGGTTATTACACAATATTGAGATCACTGTGCTATAGAGTGGGTCCTTGTTGGTATCTGTTTTATATATAGTACATATGTTATAGTGTATATGTTAATCCCAAACTCCTAGCTTAACCCTCTCACCACTTTTTCTATTTGGTAAACATGTTTTCAAAGTCTGTTGAGTCTGTTTCTGTTTCATGAGTTCATTTGTGTCATCTTTTTAGATTCCACATATAAGTGATATCGTATATTTGTCTTGGTCTCTCTGACTTACTTCCCTTTAGTATGGTAATCTCTCAGACTATCCATGTTGCTGCAAATGGCATTATTTCATCTTTTTATGGCTAAGTAATATTCTGCAGTGTGTGTGCATATATATATATATATATATATATATATATATACACACACACACACACACATCACATCTTCAGCCAATCCTCTATTGAGGAATGAGACATTTAGGGTGCTTCCATGTCTTCACTATTGTAAACAGTGCTGCAATGAACACTGGGATGCACTTATCTTTTTGGATTATGTTTTTTTTTCCAGATATATGCCCACAAGTGGGACTGCTGGATCATATGACAGCTCTATACCTAGTTTTTTAAGGAACCTCCATACTGTTCTCCATAGCAGTTATACCAATTTCCATTCCCATCAACAGTTTAGGAGGGTTCCCTCTTCTCCACACTCTCTCCAAGATTTACTGTTTGAAAACTTTTTGATGATGGCCATTCTGACTGGTGTAAGGTGATACCTCACTGTAGTTTCCCTCTGCATTTCTCTAATAATCAGCGATGTTTGAGCATCTTTTTCTGTGCTTTCTGGCCATTTGTATGTCTTCTTTGGAGAAATGTCTATTTATGTGTTCTGTCCATTTTCTGACTAGACTGTTTTTTGATACTGAGCTGCACAAGCTGTTTGTTCATTTTGGAGATTAATCCCCTCTTGGCTGCTTCATTTGCAAATATTTTCTTTCATCCTGTGGGTGCCTTTTTGCTTTCATTTATGGTTTCCTTTGCTGTGCAAAGGTTTTTAAGTTTAACTATGTCTCATTTGTTTATTTTTATTTTATTTTCATTACTCTAGGAAGTAGATCCAAAAAGTAATGCTGTGGGTCTTCCCTGGCAGTCCAGTGGTTAGAACCTGATGCTTTCACTGCCATAGCCCAGGTTCAAGCCCTGACTGGGAAACTAAGATCCCTCAAGCCAAGCAGTATGCAAAAAAAAGAAAAGATATTGTTGTGATTTATATTACAGAGTGTTCTGCCTATGTTTTCCTCTAAGACTTTTATAGTAACTGGTCTTACATTTAGATCTTTAATCCATTTTTAGTTTATTTTTGTGTATGGTGTTAGAGAACGTTCTAATTTCTTTTATATTTCTTTTATATTAGGTTGGTGCAAAAGTAACTGCAGTTTTTAAATTTGCCGTTTGACATCCATTCTATATAAATGTAGATGTTATATATAATACTAATATGCATTTCTAGCTTTATTTTTTTGGGCTAATGACTTATTACTTGCTGTTTATTTTATATTTATTTTAGACTATGGGAATGATGTTAAACAAAAAAAAAATTGGAGCAATTTTCTTATTTGAGTTCAAAATGGCTCATAAAGCAGAAGAGAAAACTCACAACGTCAACAACGCATTTGGACCAGGAACTGATAACACATTTACAAAGGAGTGGTGGTTCACGAAGTTTTGTAGAGGAGAAGAGCGCCTTGAACATGAGGAGCATAGTGGCTGGCTAGCAGAAGTTGACAACGACAACTGAGAGTAATCATCGAAACTGATCCTCTTACAACTTCATGAGAAGTTGCCGAGGAACTCAACACTGACCAATCTACAGTTATTTGGCATTTGCAGCAAATTGGAAAGGTGAAAAAGTTCGATAGTGGGTGCTTCATGAGTGGACCTGAAATTAAAAAAACATTGTTCTGAAGTATTGTCTTCTCTTATTCTACAAAACAATGACGAACCGTTTCTGGATCAGACTGTGATGTGTGACAAAAAGTGGATCGTATAAAACAAGAGATGACCAGCTCAGTGGCTGGATCAAAAGGAAGCTCCAAAGCACTTCCCAAAGCCAAACTTGCACCTAAAAAAAAAAGGCATGGTCACTGTTTGGTGGTCTGCTGCCAGTATGATTCACTACAGCTTTTGAACCCCAGCAAAATCATTACATCTGAGAAGTATGCTCAGCAAATCAATGAGATGCACCAAAAACTGCAATGCCTATAGCCGGTACTAGTCAACAGAATGGGCCCGATTCTTCTCCACAAGAAAACCTAACTGCATATGAGACAACTAACACTTCAAAAGTTGTGCTACAAAGTTTTGCCTAATCTGCCATATTCACGTGACCTCTCGCCAACCAACTACCACTTCTTCAAGCATCTTGACAACTTTTTGCAGAGAAAATATTTCCAAAATCAACAGGAGGCAGAAAATGCTTTCCAAGTGTTTGTCTAATCCTAAAGCCTGGATTTTTATGCTATAGGAATAAAGAAACATCTTGTTGGCAAGAATGTATTGACTGTAATGGTTCCTAATAAAGATGTGTCTGAGCCTAGTTATCATTTAAAGTTCACATTTATACTAACCTAACATACAGTTGTCTGTCTAGTCAAGGCTATAGTTTTTCCAGTGGTCATGTATGGATGTGAGAGTTGGACTGGGAAGAAAGCTCAGCACTGAAGAATTGATGCTTTTGAACTGTAGTGTTGGAAAAGACTCTTTAGAGTCCCTTGGACTGCAGGGAGATCCAACCAGTCCATCCTAAGAGAGACCAGTCCTGGGTGTTCATTGGAAGGACTGATGCTGAAGCTGAAACTCCAATACTTTGGCCACCTCATACGAAGAGCTGACTCACTGGAAAAGTCCCTGATGCTGGAAGGAATTGGGGGCAGGAGGAAAAGGGGACGACAGAGGATGAGATGGCTAGATGGCATCACTGACTCGATGGACATGAGTTTGAGTAAACTCCAGGAGTCGGTGATGGACATGGAGGCCTGGCGTGCTGCAATTCATGGGGTTGCAAAGAGTCAGACACGACTGAGTGACTGACTAAACTGAACTGAACTGAACATACAGTTGTCCAGTGTTCCCAGAACCATTTATTGAAGAAGTTGTATTTTCTCCACTGTATATTCTTGCCTCCTTTGTCATACATTAACTGACAAAAGGTGTGTGGGTCTATTTTGGAGTTTTCTGTTCTGTTCCATTGATCTATTACTTGTTTTCGTGCCAGTACCATACTGTTTTGATGACTGTGGCTTTGTAGTATGGTCTAAAGCCAGGGAGCCTGATTCCTCCAGCTCTGTTTTTCTTTCTCAGGATTGCTTTGGCTATTCCAGATAAATTTTAAAACTATCTGTTCTATTTCTGTGCAAAATGTCATTGGTAATTTGATAGAGATTGCACTTTTGATAGGGATTACACTAAATCTGCAGATCACCTTGGGTAGTACAGTCGTTTTGACAATACTATTCTTCTAATCTAAAAACATGGTATATCTTTCCAACTGTTAGTATCACTTCAATTTCTTTCATCACTGTTTTATAGTTTTCAGAGCACGAGTCTTTTGCCTCCTTACATAGGTTTATTCCTAGCTATTTTCCTCTTTTTGATACAGTGGTAAATGAAATTGTTTAATTTCTCTTTCTGATCTTTTTGTTCTTAATGGACAGAAATGCAAGAGATTTCTGTATATTAACTCTGTATCATGTAACTTCACCAAATTCACTGATGAGCTCTAGTAGTTTTCTGGTAGCATCTTTAGGATTTTTATATATAGTATCATATCATCTGCAAACAGTGACAGTTTTACTTCTTCTTTTCCAATTTGGATTTCTTTTTTTTCCATCTCTCATTGCCATGGCTAGGACTTTCAAAACTATGTCAAATAAAAGTGTTTTGCTCCTGATCTTAGAGGAAATGCTTTCAGCTTTTCACTCTTGAGTATGATGTTAGCTCTGGGTATGACATATATGGCCTTTGTTACGTTGAGGTAGGTTCTCTCTATGCTCACTTTCTGGAAAGTTTTTACCATAATAGTTGTTTCAGTTTTGTCAAAAGCTTTTTTTCACATCTACTGACATAATGTGGTTTTTACTCTTCAATTTGTGTGGTGTTTCACAGTGATTTGCAGATATTGAAAAATCCTTGCAACCCTGGGATAAATCCCATTTGATCATGGTATATGATCCTTTCAATGTATTACTGGATTCAGATTGGTCTTATTTTACTGATGACTTCTGCATCTACGTCAGTGATATTGGCCTATCATCTTCTTTTCTGGTGGTGTCCTTTCTTCTCTGGTTTTGGTATCATGGTGATGGTGGCCTCATAGAATAAGTTTGGGCACATTCCTTCCTCTGCAATTTCTGCACTAGTTTCAGAAGGATAGGTGTTAATTCTTCTCTTAAATGTGTGATAAAATTCATCTGTGAAGCCATCTGGTCCTGGACTTTAGTTGGAAGTTTTTTAATTTCAGTTCAATTTCACTACTTATGACTGGTCTGTTCATATTTTATTTCTTTCTGGTTCAGTCTTGGAAGATTTTACCTTTCTAAGAATGTGTCCATTTCTTCTAGGCTGTCCATTCTATTGGTATACAGTTGCTTAAAGAAATCTCTTATGATTCTATCACTGTGGTGTCAGCTTCTCCTTTTCATTTCTAATTTTTTGTAATGAGCTCTTTCCCTTTTTTCCTTGATAAGTCTGGTTAAAAATCGCTTCTCGGCCTTTTGGCTAAGATCAAGTGAAGTCTTGGTTAAAGGTTTATCAAGTTTGTTTATCTTTTCAAAGAACCAGTTTTTAGTTTCATTGGTCCTTTCTATTGTTTTCTTTATCTCTATTTCACTTATTTCTGCTCTGATCTTTATGATTTCTTTCCTTCTAACTTTGGGTTTTGTTTGTTCTTCTTTCTCTAGCTGCTTCTGGTATACAGTTAGGTTATTTCATTGAGATTTTTCTTAAGATTGTATTGCTACAAACTTCCCTCTTAGAACTGCTTTTGAGCATCCCACAGATTTTGGATCATCATGTTTTTATTTTCATTTGTCTCTAGGAATTTTCTGATTTCCTCTTTGATTTCTTTGGTGATCCACTGGTTGTTCAGTAACATATTGTTAAGCCTCCACATGTTTGGGTTTTTTACTATTTTTTTCTTGTAGCTGATTTCTAATTTCATAGAGTTGTGGCTGAAAAAGATGCTTGATATGATTTCAATTTTCTTAAATTTACTGAGGTTTGCTTTGTGGCCCAGCACGTGATCTATCATGCAAAATGTTTGAGTACCTCATACAAACATATACCTTTTGAAATTAAACACAACATTCCAACACACTTTAATTATCCCAACAATCCAATAATGTGAGTACTATTAGTTCCACATTATAGAAGAGGAAACTGCAGCCCAAAGAACCTCCATACTATCCTGCCCCATCCAAATGGAAGTTTTGGTGCAGAACACATTACGGTAATTAGAAATTTGTAAAACAATGTAGACACTGTCAACAAATCTAAAAACTACAGAGTAAAATGGATATCCAAGAAGGACCTACTGTATAGCACATAGAACTCTTTTCAATGTTACTGGCAGCCTGGATGGGATGGGTTCAAGGGAGAATGGAGATATATATACATACAGCTGAATCCTTCGCTGTTCACCAGAAACTACCACAACACTGTTAACTGGCTATACCCCAATATAAAACAGAAGGTAAAAAAAAAAAAAAAAAGATATCAACTGCTCCCAAGTCAGAACTAATTTAGACCATAACTTTGCTGCTAACGAGCAGAAACAAGGTCTCTCTCATGTTCAGAAACATAAAGAGTCTAGAGAAGAAATCTCTTTAGTTTGAGGCCGCAAGCTAATCCACATCTCTGAGTATTTCTAGCAAGACCAAGATATTTGGTCAGAAAGAAGTAAGAGAAAAAGAGAAATGAAGAACAGTAAAAGAAGTGTTGAAGGTGACACCATGTACACCACAAGTGTTGCCTGTATCTAACCAAAAAGACTGGGGATCACTGGTAAAGTAACATGCCCAGCAAAATATGTTTCTTAAATGTACCTGGAATAGACTCTCTGATATGCTGAATTAATTCCACATAAGCTTCTCTTGAATACCTGCAATAAAAAAACAAAAAGAAAAAGCTCAAATTAACCAATCTTCTTTAAATGAATGCTATAAGAAGATAACTCTATGAATTACCTCACATAATCACTTTACATTCACACAGGACAGTGCAAGAGTAAGTTAAATTATCCTTAAGAGCCCTTCAGATCCAAATCCTGTACTGTACCCTAATCCAGAGCCTATAAAATTTTAATTCAAGAACGTAATTTCAAATAGCCATTTTTATTTAACTAAGAAATGAAGACAAATTAATACTTAACATTTCTAAGATTCTTTGCCAATGTGTAATGTAAGGTAAATCACTAGTTCTATACAATGTGTCATCTGACACTTTCTCCTTTCAGTCTTCTCCTTGCTATACTCTTTCCAAAGTAAGTAAACACAGAAAAGCTATAAATAAGTTAAAAATCTCAGTGTGCCACACAATAGGTGCTTAATAAGACACCAGCTAAACAAATGAGTGACCCAATCCTCAGTCTATACTTATAGAATGAACAAAGCAAGTTACAAAGTCCATCAGTTTACTCATGTAATAAATCTCTATTGAGCAGCTACCATGTGCCACACACTATCCTAGGTTCTTAGACACTGCTTGGTCCTTAAACATGGATTGGTATGGAACACCCGTCCCCAAGCAAGTCTGACCCCCTCCGCATGGCCTCCAATACACGGCTGCTTCCACTCTGGGCTGGTAGGTGGATCTGTTTACAGATGTTGTCCCTCTCATGGATCAGTTGCAGAACCTGGTCAAATAGAACACATGAAAGGCCATCAAAGTCTCACAAAAGAATCTTGCAGAAAGGAATACCACTCCCACTGTTTCTCCACCAAGATTAATTTTTAAGAACTAAGAGGCTGACAAAACCAAACATATAAACCACCCAAATTCTTTACTTTTGCTCAAGCCACATTCTGTCTGTCCCAGACATTTCACCTGATGGTATCTCTCTCCTTTTGAAGAGTGAAGAAACCAAGCAGAGGTCAGATTCCGGTCATGAGGCTACACAGGGACAGTGCCAACACAGACCAGAAAGGAAAAACAGCATTCGTCTCACCTAGCTTATAAACTAATTAGCCACTTTAAAAGATACCATCAAGAAACTAAAACTAGGAGAAAATACTTGAAAAAATTTACTGACAAATGATTTGTACCAAGAGTACATAAACAAGGTTCACAACTCAGTAAGACAAATATTTCAGAGGGGAAAAAGTAGGGGTGGGGCCAAAAGACAGACATTTCACCAAAACAAAAAACCTTCCCAACAACCCAAAGCAGTGATTATTAACCATTTTACAAATGAAGATGACAAGTTGAAAAGGTCACCTCTACTGGTAAAGAGTTAGTGACAGACAGGTAAGCCTGGCGTGCTGCTGTCCATGGGGCTGCAAAGAGTCAGACAAGTCTGAGCAACTGAACTGAACTGGTAAAGCAGTGGAAGAGCCAGGGCTGAACTCAGCTCTGTCTGAGGCCAAAGTCTAAACTGTTTTCTGCTGCATTACATTGCCTCCCTACCTGTTCTTCCCACACCATCTTGCAACAAAACCTCTCTCTGCACAGCCCTCATGGTCCACTGATGGTCTGAGTATCAATCCTATACCTTAGTGGACTAAGGTATAGTCCTCCACCTTAGTGGACTTCAAATCTTTCCATAAGCGGGTAGTTTCAGAGGGCAATACAGTAACACACCTCAGGATCCCCTGACCTCTGAGGACAGATGCCTCTGCCACACCCTACTGGCTCCAGCCTTTGGCATGCTTAGGGATACTGACGTGAATCTGGCACAGTAAACTCTCAATACTCACCTCGTCAGGAAAGTCCTTAGGGTGCGGAGAGGTGAAACGAATCCTCATTTCAGGATCTATTCTGGACACCTGATCCAGAAGGTGAGCAAAACGAAGGCCTCCTTGCTTGGCTTTATAGTTGGTGGAAAAGCCACGACTGAGGTTGGTGGACACTGCATTGTTGAACTGGACCTCTGAATTGTCCCGAAAACTATTAACATTCTGACCAAGGAGTGTCACTTCTTTCAGCCCCTGAAAAAGGAAAAATAAACATTGGAAGCAATTTTAAAACTTGTTTGGCAGCGTTATGCCAAATCTCCAACTAAAATTAGCTAAACCTGCCAAGAGTCATCCATAAATATACTCCCTCTTTAACTCAATAATTTCATCTTGGGCATCATGTCCAAAGAACTGAACTTCAGGATAAAACCATATGTAATAATCTTCAAAACATTTTTAAAAATAGCAAAAAAGCTGGATGAAAACCCAATATTCAAAAATAACAGCTAATTTATAAAACCAAAAATCAAATTATGGTACCACTCTGTCCTTTGAAGGTTATATAATCATTATCTATGCAGTATTCCTGCCAAAAATATTTAGTCTAAATCCAATCAAGCTTTTACACCTAACTTTCAGTTTACCACAATTCAGGGGAATATTTTAAGTAACAACATGAGGAAGCAATCAAACAAATGGAGATATGTCTAATGCATCATTTAACAAAAAACAAAAAAGTGAAAAGACTGTTTTAGGTTTGAGAGAGACTGAAGAAGTATTACATACAATCAAATGAAACTATACAAATCTTAATGGGATCTTGGCTTAAAAACAGAACAGTAATAAGACATTTTTGGATAATTAAGATATTCTGAACATGGGCTACATGTTAGAAAATATTAGTTAATTGTTTCCTACTTATGATAACAGTATTATGGTTATGAAGGGAAAAATTCTTCTTTCTGAGAAGATGCATAGTGACAGATACAGGGCAAAATGGCCTGATGACTACCACTTACTCTCAAATGGTTCGGAAAAAAATATATTTATATATATACAGAGATAGGCAGATAAAAAACATATGACAAAATGTCAATAATCATGTTTATTAATCTTTCAACTTGTGTTTGAAAATCTGCACTGTTGGGACTTCCCTGGTGGTCCAGTGACTGGGACTCTGAGCTCCCAGTGCAGGGGGCCCAGGTTGGATCCCTGGTCAGGGAGCTAGATCCCACATACTACAACTAAGATCCAGGGCAGCCAAATAAATAAATAAAATTAAAAAAAAAAAAGAACGAAAATCTGCACTGTAAAATTTCAGAAAGTAAAAGAAAAATGGTAGCTATAAAGACTATTTTTTATTATTTTATTTTGACATAATTTCAAACTTACAGAAAAACTGAGAGAGTATAAAAAACTCCCATAAACTACTTGCCCAGATTCAGTAATTGCTAACATTGTGCCTCATTTCATCATTCATTCACACGTTTGTTCTCTCTACACACACATCAAGCCAGAGAATGGTGGAGCCCAAATTCACAATCACCTCATTCATGCTCTTTCTATTCTACTGTGCTCCCTCCTAAGTAAACCTCTCTATGGAGCTGCCTATACTGTGTGGGCAGCAACCCAAGACATGTACACCCAGAAATTTCTTTCTGGTCAGGTATGATTCTAAACATGTACAGCTGAGAGACGGCACAGGCTGTAAAACTACAGAAAAGTTGTCCTCATCCTCCAACAAACACACTCACAGTCAGAAGGGCTGCGAGAACTTCTCACCTGCTCAGAAAGCTTCCTCACTTCCTCCAGAATGGAGGCAATAGGCCGACTCCTCTCCCGGCCACGTGTGAAAGGAACAATGCAGTAGCTGCACATGTTGTCACAGCCTCGCATGATAGACCTGGGGAGGAAAGCACCAGGACTCAGTAAAGGAGCAGGACGATCTGGTCCAACCCAAGGAGAAGGTCACCAGCTCCTTTGGCATTTATCCCTTAGCTCTGAATTCTCTTGGCAATATACTCACAAAGGACCAATCTGAGATCTAAGAAGCAATAAAGCAGACATTTTTATCTTTAAAAACTATTAGCTGGGAGTTCCTTGGTAGCCTAGTGGTTAGGATTACAGGCTTTCACTGCCATGGCCTAGGTTCAATTCCTGCTCAGGAAACTGAGATCCCACAAGTCACGTGACATGGCCAAAAAAAAAAAATTATTATCTGATAATCACAAGATGTAAACCAAACTGTAACTGGTGGTTACCCCAAGGAACTACAATAGTGAAGGAATGGGGTACAGATCTTGCACATCTGGACTTTCTACATATTTACATATTTTTGAATTCTTTAAATCCAGACCAGAAAAAAAATAAATATCATCAAAGAGTACATAACAAGTAGAGACACTGGATTTAAAATGTAAGGTTCTGCATCTCTCACTCATTCCTGATCCAAATGCCAAGTATCTAAGCTACATCACTCTCTTTCATTTGCATCCTATATATGAAAGCCTCAATTTATCTTAGGGAAACAATTATGAATAGATATGTATTAAAGATGTTCACTGAAGAACTCAAATAAATATTAGCTATTAATTTTTTTATTAAGCATTCCAACAACAAAGTATTGGATAGCCATTAAAATGAGAGGTTGACAAACTTTTTCTGTAAAAAATCCAGATAGTAAATATTTTAGGTTTTATAAACCATACTAATACTGTAGTGGCAAAAGCAGTCACAGACAATATGTAAACAAAGCAGCATGACTATGTTACAATAAAACTTTATTTACAAGAACAGGCTACAGGCCTATTTGCCAATCTGTCACAGAAAATGTCATGATACAACAAATGTTCATCATTTTAAATAAGGGTATAAAACCAAGTATATCAAGAGCCAATTTTTATGAATAAATACAAACAAAGCATACTCATGCAAACACAGAGGAAAGAATAGCATGATATACACCAAAATGATAACAGTGTTTATCAATAAGTGGTAAAACATGTAAGTAATTCTTACTCACTTCTCTATGGAATATCTTTCCACATATTCTTCAACAAATATGAACTATTTTGTCATCAGATCTTTTTAAGTTAAAAGGTCAAAGGAGAGAAAAAAAGACGATAAGCCTAAGACATTTTCTTAAGTGAAAAAAGTAAGAGAAGGGAGGGTAGAAAAGAGTCCATATTATATATATGAATGTATGTGCAAAGAATACTTCTGAAAGGATTATATAAGGAACTACAAATATGGCTGCCTCAGAGTTAGTCTAGGAGACTGAGGATGAGTTCTGAGGGAATCTTACTATACCTTTTTTTGTCTTCAGGTTTTTCTACTATGTGCATTTTTTTAATGTAATAAAAGCAAGATGTTACTTTAAAAGTAAGGAAAGAGGTTGGGGGGCAGAGGGAAAAAAAGAAGTAAGGAAAGAGAAGCTGACTCCCCATCTCTTGGTCAGTGACTCACACGAAGGCAGAGGTAGCACTGGGGCTCGTCTGGACTGGCATGACGTCAGCATAGGTCTCATCCAGAGATAGCAGGACATTGGCAGCTTGCTGGCCTGACTCAGCAACAGCCAGCAATCGAGGAAGGTCCCTATAGGCATCTGGGCCAGCCAAAATATCCACCATTTTCTCCCTGTTGAGGATCTCCTCCTTCAGTCTCTCAGCCATGCAGCCTGGGAGGGAAAAGAAATAAGCTGAGACCCGTTCCCAAATTCATCTTGTCTCAAGACTTCTATACAGTACACATTCTCTCCAGGTGGATCAAAGACGAAAGCACAGAAACTTCTCTAAGAATTCAGCATCATCCCTTAAATAGGCCCAACACTCTTTACCTCTGGAACTTGCATATTTCTATATAAGAAAATCAGGAAAAGGGCTCTGCAGCAATTCAATTACATGCCTGACAAAAATTAAACCACCATCCAAAAACATTTCTAGACATGAACCATCTCTTTTTTCAATTTAAAATTACTTGGTACTACACATAAAAACTATTTTGTGTCAAAAACTTATTTTTTAATAAAATTTATCTATATACAACTGCCCTTACACTCTTTTTCTTTCTTGTTGCCCATGTGCATGTGTGTGCTCAGTCATGTTCAACTCTGTGACCCCATGGACTGTAGCCCACCAAGCTCCTCTGTCCATGGGATTCTCCAGGCAAGAATACTAGAGTGGGTTGTGATGCCCTCCTCCAGGGAATCTTCCCAACCCAGGGATCGAACCCACACCCCTTGCATCTCCTACATTGGTAGGTGAGTGCTTTACCCACTTGGGAAGCCCTATCACCCATAATATGTATCAAAACCTGTAAAAAATGAGTTATCCATCTATGCTGGTGTCTTCCATAACCAAGAACCATCCCATAACCAAGAACCATAAACCACTGCTGTTAGTAAAACTACAGAATTTGAAAGTCCCTTTTCTTAAAAACACCCTTTAAAAACATTTAAGAACAATTCTTGATTGTACAAACATGTTTTTTTTTGATTGTACAATCCATGTTTATAGCAGCATCATTCACAATAGCCAAAGAGTGAAAGCAACCCATGTCCATAAACAGATGTCATACGTACATACAATGGAATATTCAGCCTTAAAAAGGAAGGAAATTTTGATACACACTACCACGTGGATGAACCTTGAGGACATTGTGCTAAGCCAGTTACAAAAATACTGTATGATTCCGTTTATATGAAGTACCCAGAGCAGTAAAATTCATCAAGGCAGAGAGTAGAATGGCAGTTGCCAGCGACTGAACTGAGGGAGGAATGGGGCAGTCATTACCTAACTGGTATGGAGTCTCAGTTTGGGAAGAAGAAAAAGTTCTGGAAATGGATGGTGGCAATGTTTGTGCAACCACCTGAATATACTGTATACCACTGAACTAACTGTGCCTCTGGAAGAGGTTCAAAAGGTAAACTTTATGTTACATATACTTTACTGCAATTTAAAAAACAAAACTATTTTGGAGATTTCTAACACTCCAAACACACACACACACACACACATACACTCCTTCTATAATGAAGGAATTGAAATGGAACAAAACATCCTAGCTAATCCACATTAATCTGTGTAAAAGAATAAGCTCCAACCTTTGTTTCAATCCATCATCAAGACGACCAACTATTCCACGATGGACACAATCTATTTTTAAGGTTAAATACATTGACTAAATTCTGGGACCATGAAGGTACAGGATATTTATTTTTGAAATATGCCTCCCAGCTCTCTAGATCAGAGCTGCCAAACAGAACTTTCTAAGATGAAGGAAATGTGCTTTATCTATGCTGTTCAAACTGGCAGCTACTAGTCAAGTGTGGCGAATAAGCAGTCAATATGTGGCTAATGGAACTTAAGAAGTGCATTTTTATTATTATTTAAGTGTAATTAAATTTAAATGACCACATGTGACTAGTGGCTATCATACTGGTCGGTGGATAGCTGGATCTTCACTTGGGCATGTTTTAGGAATCAAGATGAAAGATACCTAATAAATTCAAACTGTCCCTTCAGACTCCAAATTTTCTCCTATCCATTACTCTGTGCTACCATAAGCCACATTAGACTAGGAAGGACAAATCACTTTCTGAGTACCTGTTACTTTCAAGGCACTAAGAAAAGTCCTTTTATGAGCTTCATCTCTTAATTCTACAGCTTCTGACATTAAGTACAAGGGCTGAATGGGATGTAAAAGACTGAGAATCCAGCATCTAAGGGAAACCCTAGCATATAAAGCTACATGGTACCCAAGTCTCAAAAAACTTACAAAACCTGCAAATTACCAGATACCTAGAATCCCAATCCTCAGAGGTACTCGGGAGCGGAGCCGTTTGGACTTCAGGGATTTGAGCTGATGTAAACGATTCCAGATGGTCTGTTCAGCCTTCTCCCTACAGAGATCAAAAAAGGTAGACCTGAACCTGAAAATAAACTACAGAGCAACCTAAAAGAGCACGACAATGGGAAAAATGGGAATTCCCTGGTGGTCCAGGGGTTAAGACTCCAAGTTTTCACTGCCAAGGGCACAGGTTTGATCCCTGGTCAGAAACTAACATTTCACAAACAGTGCAGCCAAAACCATTCCTAAAACGAGACCTCCCTACACATCTACAAATCCTGACGAGCCTTTAAGCCAAACTCAAAAACAACCTGTTTCACAAAGACTTCCCAAACTCTCCTCAGTTAGAGAGTTTGTTCTCCTATCACTTTAACTATTCTTTTCCCTGTACTCAGCAATTTCTCCTTTTTACTGTTTGATTTTTTTACCTAGTGCTTTCTGCCAGATGTTAGAGCTATTTGTGTACCTGTCTTAGTTCCCACATCAGACTAAGCTCTGTAAAGTAGGGCTCCATGGAGGAAAGGTTCATTTCTGAATCCCCCAAAGCACCTAATTCAATGTCCTGCAACAAAGACCCTCAGAACTAAAATGCTGGATTGACTGATAATACAGCCAGCTGAGGAAACAACACTAACATGCCATGTACACAGAAACAAATTAATAAACAGAGTATGTTCACTTGTGATGGATGCCACCCATCTCTATCAGAAGAACTCTGTCCCTAGCCACTAACTGGACCTACCCCTTATGACGTGAGGTACAGCATAAACATGTGCAAGAAAAACCCCAGGAAATGTTGGGCAATTCAGCACACTCTCGGTTTCCTCATCGATAAAATGAGTTTGATAATAGCAACTACCTCATAGGGTTGTTATGAGAATCAGTCAGTGCACATCTAGTGCTCAGCACAGGACCTGACACAAGGTATACGCTCCACAAATGCTGACCATTCTACCAGCACTATATTCACTTGGAAAACTGCAAACCTGCTGACTCATCGCCATGGGTTGGGTCACCCTGGCACTGCTGGCTCTGGCATTTTACAGAAGATTTATTCACTCTCTAGGTAAAGAATAAATTCCCACCTGATAGAACATGTGACAAGGAGAATCACATCAGCCTGGGTAGAAAGCAAGGAAAAAGAGGAAAATTATGATCTTTGAAATCAGCCTTGTAGAATCATTACCCACAGTCCTTTCCGGCCCCCACCCCCGCCGCCAGATTGTGGTGAAACACAAAACATAAAATTTACCATTTTAACCATTTTTAAGTACACAGTTCAGCAGCATTACGGACACTCACACTGTTGTTCAACCACTACCACCATCAACCTCCGGAACTATTTCACCTTCCCCAACTAAAATCAGTAGGCATTAAACACTAACTCCCCATTTGCCTTCTCCTCGCAGCCCATTTTCAACCTAGTTCTTTGCCTGAAGGTGAGCACCACCATAAAAGTTTCAAAAATAACTGCAACAAAAGTACACCTCGGTCCCATACTCCTCACTTCCCTCAAGGGAACTCACTCTCACAAGGCCACAGCCTGTTCCTGAAACTCCACCTAAGAACTAGCACAAATGCAGAATCTCACCCAGGCCCAGGAAACGGGGAAAGAGGGAAATGTGTATACCTCCTGAAGGCTATTGGTCCGCAGGTAGCCACTCTTCTCTAAGATGGACCAGGCTATCTCTGTGTCATTCACGTTCATCTGGCAGCCATAAGTCTCAAGGTAGACTGCAACGAGAGGGCAATTCCACAGGTAAGAAGACAAAAAGGGATCACATGTCTCAAAAGGTTGCCTCCCCAAATGTCCCAGAAACACCTGAGGCACCTGGTTAGTCGCTTAAGTCCCCTGATGCCTCAATTCAGAGACACTATTAATTGCCAGATGTACCCCCAAATTATTAATAATGAAGCCTTTTGGAACAAAAGAAATATTCATTATATACACACACCAACTATAAGTCAGACCATTTAAAAGTGGGGAAAACGTGCTCCTAGGACTCAAGAAATATAGTTACACAGAATGAGGTTCTCCAGCCTCTAGAGATAACAGCGGTGGCTAGAGGGTCAATAAAGCCACAAAATAAAAATGAGGCAACGTCCTACAGTAACTCCAAACATCTTAAATGAAAGTAAGCATGGCTAACATGACATAAAACACATCTGCACAAAGTTTTAAGAACATCAATTTCACACCTGAGCAAACCCCTTCAAACTAAATCCCTCTATCAACCCCTATCCCACCAACACACTTTAATCCACAAGCCCAAATAAATCCTAAATGGAGTTAAGAGCTGAAGGACAATCACATGAAAACCAATAGAAAATAGCAGTAATTTAAAAAAAAATAATCAAGAATTTTTCTAAACGTTCCTTGGCTCCCTTTCTTTGTCTAAAAAGAGAAAATACCAAACTTATGTCAGGGAGAGACAGAAGGGAATAACAAATTTTAAAGGACTACAAAAATCTGAGAAGTCATGAGGTACACAGGCTCCTCGATTTACCAATTCAACGCCTAGACATTTACTCTAGAAAAAAGATTCTGAAGAAGCAAAACTATCTCTATACGTGTGAATATGTGTATCTGTGTGTGTGTACATACTAACGCACTTTTAATAGTGTTATGTAGAATATAAAAATTTGTGAAACAATCTAATGTCCCAACAATTGGAAAACATCATGGTACAGCATGTGATATTTCGCAACAATTTTTTAATTTAATTATAAAGACTGGTATTTGGAAGAATATTAAATGAAAATAGCACATTACAAATAATCTAAACCATATGAATGTGACCAAATCATTAAGAGTTATAAATGGAAGCTTTTTTTTGAAACAGTGCAAAAGTCTGTTAGTCTCTTAATGTCTTTTCAAATTTTAACACATTTTAACTGAGTGCATTATGTTTCTAAGAAAACCTCTGTCGAGAAGGAAATGGCAACCCACTCCAGTATTCTTGCCTGGAAAAGTCCATGGACAGAGGAGCCTGGCAGGCTGCAGTCCATGGGGTTACATGACTGAGCATGTGTGCACGAGGGTGGAGGGAGATGGGTTGGTAGCAATAAAGTGGTAAAACTGAAAAAAAAAAAAAAAAAGAAAACCTCTGCCTAAGCATAATGATTTTCTATAGCACCAATTGTGAAACCTGCCTTGTAACTTAGGATGATCTAAAACTCAGAACAGAGATTGCAGGGTTTCCAAAGGTAACAGAAGAGAAGACTCCCCAGGACTTCCACCCACAAGTTGCACGTATCAGAACTGTTAACTTTTCTTATATTATTGCTACTTGGTAGAGGCTGATGATTCCATGATTCCAGCAGCCTTTCTACCCTGTTAACCCTCTACTGAGGGTTAACCTTCAACTGAGTTAATCTACTGAGTTAACCCTGTTAACTCCAAAGCCAGGTATATAAAAGATCTCTTAAGAATCAAGCCATGAGCACTGAAAGGAAGTAAAGCAGGAAGTCCAAAGAGAAGTAAAGTTAAACCAACCTCTTCTCTGCCTTCCTAAAAGTTCATCCGCCATGAGATACGGGGGTGGGTCCTCCATTTCTGAAGAAGACGGTTTCTCTGGAGGAACTAAAGCACTCCTTAAAAAATCCTGAAAAGTCGGTCCAGTGGCCAGCCTGGAGCTGAAATCCTTCCCAACTCCATCCTCCTGCGGCCTCTCTGGACTGGGACATGCAGAGCTGGGGATACTGCTGTGTGCCCTGCAGGTCCTGAAGAGCAGCCAGGACACAGAGGCCAAGGGCCCCCGCCGCAGACACCTCTGGGCTTGGAGAACACACTGTAAAGGATGCATGGCACTAAAGGAGCCCACAGCCTGCAAGAGAATGACAGATAGCACCAAAATTTACTGAGCACTATACACAGGGCACCACCCTAAGCATCTGAGATATATTAATACATTTAATCTTCATAAAAACCCAAGAACATACTCTTAATAACACTGTCCCCTTAATAACATTTTAAAGATGGAAAAACTGAAGCAACTTGCCAAATATCACAAAAAGTGCTAGAGATGAGATGCAAATCCAGGCAGTCTATTTTCAAAACAGAGGAGTGACAGAGATGAAATGAGAAGTCCTGACAAAATAACAAAGTAGCACCTTGTACCAGGAACAGTTCCAAAGGCTTTAAGTGTATTAATTATTTAAATCTTTACAGCAATCTTGAGTAACATAGGCAACAGACACTATTATTATCCCCATTCAGAGAGGAGGAAATAGACACAGAGAAGGTGAAGGACTTACCTAAGCTCCCACAGCCAGTAAGCAGCAGGGTGGGGATCCAAATAAAGGTCTGAATTAACATAAAGCTGAAGATGAAGCTCCAGTATTTTGGTCATCTGATGTGAACAGACAACTCATTAGAAAAAAGTCTCTGATGCTGGGAAAGACCAAGGGAAGAAGGAGAAAAGGGTGTCAGAGAATGAGACGGCTGGATGGCATCACCAATCCAATGAACATGAACTTGGGCAAACTCCAGGAGATGGTGAGGGACAGGGAGGCCTCGCATGCTGTAGTCCACATGGTCGCAATGAGTCGGACACGAATGGGTCACTGAACAATGACAACAATTAACACAAAGGCTGTGCCCCTAACCACCTTGATACACTGCCTCCCCACACTGTGAAAACCACTTACTGAGGGCATCTTCCTCTGTCTTCCTTCAAAATAAAGTATCTAACGTGGGGGCACCATAGGCCTGATCAGTGACTCCTTCTACCCTCCAAGAGTTTCACATTACTACCTTCAAACTTCCTGCCCAGACCCTCTCACACATGGCTGAGGGGCATAGAAAATGGCACAATCTTTACAGTGACCATTTTGCCACCTTCCATCAAAATCACAAACACACAAATCCTAGATAATTAACAAGGACCTACTGTATAGCACAGGGAACTCCACTCAATACTCTGTAATGATCTATACAGGAAAAGAATTCAAAAAAGAGTGGATATATGTACATGTATTAATGATTCACTTTGCTCTATACCCAAAACTAACACAACATTGTAAATCAACCATATTCCAATAAAATTAAGAAAACACACACACAAACCTTTTGACCCAGCAGTTCCATTCCTAGGTACTTATCCTACAGACAGACCCTTGCGTGTACAAAATAACCTGTGCCTAAGGATACTTGATGCCTAACAGCACCTGATGCCTAGCACTGCCTAAGCAGTGCTTCTAACAGCAAAGAAATGGAAAAGATCTAAACATCATCAATAGGGGACTAGTTAAACAAGTCATAGCACATCCATACAACGGAATAAGATGCAACTGTTAGAAAGTGAGGTTGAATAACCAAAGCAGGGAAGCAAAATGCTACACTAGATATAGAAAGCCATCCACAGATCTGTGTAGGAAAAAAAGCATGAAAATTCAGGTACATATTTGTAAATATACACAGTATCTCGAGAATGCCTAAGAAATAGTGGGTGCCTCCCAGGAAGGAATCTAGGTGACTCAAAGTATTAATACAAAAGACGGAGACTTGCTTTCCACCACATAGTTTTAATGGACCCCACATCTCCAGCCTGACTACCTCACTCCACTCATACATTTTTGAACCAATCTTCATTAGCTTCTAGACTTTTACACGTGCTGTCTTCTCTGGATGGCACATCTTACCTCAACTGACTTAACCAACTCCTACACTACTTTTAGTTTACTTTACTTCCTCTTGGAAGCCTTTTCAGGCCACCACCGCCAAAGTCTAGGGGTCCTCCTCTGGGTTCTCAAAGTCTTCTTCTAACTATCACAAGACTCATCACACCTTGCTGTTATCCCTTATAAGCCAGAGGTCCCTAAAAGCAGGAAACAAATTTCATTCATTTCTACATCCTTAGTATCTCCCATTCTAATAACATGGCAGGTGATATACATGTAAAATGAGACCGACGTGGCTTGTTACTTCTCCAACCTGGTCACCTGTTGTACATGCTACCAGCACTTAGAAGCAATGTCAACCTACTTTCAAGTGACGCAGAACAGCAGACTTTCAGTGTGAGTTTTAAACTCACCCGTTTCTGCCCCTTACTTGCGTGACCTTGGGCAAGTCAAATACCTATCTGAGTCACCAATTCCACCTCTGTTAAATAAGGAAAAAGTAATGCCTACTCTCAAAGAGGTAAGAATTAATGATACTAAAACCTAATTTGGCATACGGTAAGTCTTCAGTAACTACACTTTTGCAGCCCACACCTCCTTTGTTGGTGGATATTGCTGTTGTTGTTCAGTGTCCGACTCTTTGCGATCCCATGGACTGCAGCAAGGCAACCTCCCTGATGGTGGATATGGAGCATTGAGATTAAGACCTTAAGAGTCAGAATCTGATCCAACTGCTGCTTCTCCAGGTAACTTCAGGCACCTGGAATCAAAGTTCTGGGACCTTCCATTTCCTCATGTGTAAATGGGAATAACAGTACCTATTACAGCACCTATCTCCATCTCTGTTGTAAGGATGATATATGATAATACAAATAAAATGCTTACATAGCACAATGTAGGCGCCTCTGTGCGGCCCTACATTAACTGGTAGTTGACAATAACGATGTCAACGATTTCAGTAGCCTCTAGTCAACATAAATAAACAATAAAGCATCCCAAACCTTTTACTGGGTGATTACAACGTGGTAGGCGGTGCTAGGCGCTTTTCACGGATCACCGTATTTGATCCTCAGAGCAACTGTGAGGCAGGTTCTATCATCCACTTTTTCACAGGTGACAAAGCTAAGGTTCAAGGGGAAGAGAGGTGACTCGTCCAAGGTCACAAACGAATAAGCAGCGGAGCTGAGGTGAGAATACCGAGAGTCTGACTGCAGGCTCCGCGCCAAACCCACCGCCCCATTCTCCCCTTGGACACTGCGCATTCCCGGGTCACCGTGGTCCCTCTAGCCCCAGACATGAGCCACAGGCGAGGGCGCAGGCCACCTTAACCGCGCGCCGCTCACCTTCCGCAGCCCGACAATCCAGCGTCCAGCCGAGTAGTCCTCTCGACTAGCAACCTCCCGGCTCGTCCGTCTGCGGCTGCGCGCGCATACACGCAACTTCCGTTCCGCCGCAATTTCGGTCCGGGGTGTTCCGTCCGGCAGAAGTGCGTCGTCTATAGTGTCCGGGGTGGGCCTGAGCTTCTGCTCCACTGCTGCCCTGAACCAAGTGGTAAACCCTAACCGGCATGTGGCAACGGAGCACTTGAAACGTAGCGAGTGCTAGTTAACTATGTTCTAAGTGTAAAACACACACTGAATGTCGTAGAAAGAAGGCCAGTTGTCTCATCAAAAATTTTTATATTGATTAGGTGCTGAGATAATATTTAGGACTTACTGGGCTAAGTAAGTGTATTATTTAAGTTAGTTTCAACTGTTAACTTTTTTTTTTTTACTGTGGCTACTGAGAAATTTTTAATTATTTACGTGGCTCACTTTCTGTTTCGGTTGGACAGCAATGCGCAAAAAGACTTCACAATTCACGTTTCCAGCATAGATCACCCCCTCTTACCGCCCCTGCTGGAGTCACAGACCCACAGTTCCACTGTCTATGGGGCACCTCCCCTTTAGATACCCATCGACCCGCCTCTAACTTAATACCGAATTCGTCATTTCTACACACATCCTCACCCAAAACCTGTTTCTGCCTAGTCTTGCCCACCTCAGACCCAAGAATCCTCCCAGTTGCACTAGGAGAAACTCATTTTTGTTTCTTCCTCCACAGTCAGAAAGTTCTGTCCAAAATGTCTCAAATCTGTCACTTCCTATTCTCCCGTTCTACCCCTGCTGCAACTCAAGCTCAGGCAACCATTGTCTCATCAGAAACGACTGCAATAGCCTAACTGGTCTCCTTGCTTCTGGCTTTAACCTAGTCTCCTTCCCTGGTGGCTCAGAGGTTAAAGCATCTGCCCGCAATGCGGGAGACTGGGTTCGATCCCTGGATCAGGAAGATCCCCTGGAGAAGAAAATGGCAACCCACTCCAGTATTCTTGCCTGGAGAATCCTATGGACGGAGGAGCCTGATGGGTTACAGTCCACGGGGTCACAAAGAGTCGGACACGACTGAACGACTTCACCTACAGATGTATCTCCCACACAGAGCCTAAGGGAATATACTTGTTTTTTTCCTGAGGTCACAGAAATTCACCAGAGGTCCAGTGATTAGGACTCTGCCCTTTCACTGTGATGGGCTAGAGTTGGATCTGGATCCCTGGTAGGGAACTAAGATCCCAAAAGCTGTCCAGCCCCTCAGGAAAAAAAAGAAAAGTCAGATCACATCACTCCTCTGCTGAAAATTCCTGGTGGCTTGTCATTGCCTTTGCAATAAAATCCAAATTTCTTACTGTGTCCTAGGACCTGCATGATCTTATAGCTACTGCTTTCTTTTACTTCTCCAACCCACTTATTTCTTTCTTTTCCTAGCATGATCTCTCTAGTTGAATATACTTCAACTTCATAATTTTATTTTGCTTCTTCAATACCCCAAGCACCTATTTATCTCAGAGCCTTTGTATTTAGCCTTTTTCTGGAATGTTCCCCCAGATTGTTTCAAGGCTGGTGCCTTCTCATCCTTTATGTCTCAGCTTAAATATCAGCTCTCCAGAGAGGCCCTTTCTGACCATCCCATTTAAAATGCTCCCATTACTATCACCTCATTTTCTTTTTTTTTAATTACATCATTTTCTTCACAATACTTGTCACTATCCATAATGATAGCATTATTTGCTTACTTACCATTGCCTAGTTCCTAGACATTCAGCTCCCTGAGAGCAGGGACACAATCTGTCTTGTTCACTGCAATATCCCCAGGATCTAGCAGAGTCTGACTCATTGTATGGCTTAATAAATATTTGTTGGATGAATAAATGACTGCTTTATGTATTAGTTTAAGTTCCCCAGAAGCAGACCTTGAAAAAAGGACTTGAGTGCATGCAGGTGATCTCAGGAGACACTGATAAGATAGGCAGAAAATGAGACAGAGAAGGGGTGACATCCAATAAAGAGTGTGTTACCAAGCCAGTTACTGAGGTGGGCATCTGGGTCTTAATTCTGTTGCAGAGATCTAGGAAACAGTAAAACACAGATCTCAGAATTATTTCACCCAAAGGGGTAGTTATATACTAGCAACCACGGTGGAAATCTACTCCTACACATGTTAATGGGGAGGCTGTGGTTTGGGAGAAAGCCCTCTGACTATAAGATGCAGACAATGGCTCCAACACTCGAATTACTGAGACTGTGGGGGCCCTGACAACCTCTGTTACAAGTAATCTCTTCAATATCTGATTAGAAGTCTATGAGGCTCTTATTGGTCTATTTTTCAGGTGAGAAAACTGAAAATACAAATAGGTAGTCATGTGCTTAAGCTCACACAACTAGTATATGGCAAAACTGGGATCCACCCACAGGCCAGTCTGATCCAAAAGCCCTTTTATCACTGACTGACTAATTCAAAGTCAGACTGGCTGAGTTCATAATAAGGCTCCGATGCTTATGATAGCCATGGCCAAATTAGTCATCCTTGCTGACTTTCACTTTCTTTGCATATAAAGTGGCTGCTGTGTGGAAAATATGCTGCACTGAGGGTAGGAGGGTGGGGAGACAAATAAGTAGATCATTTAGGAGCTGTGGCCTTTGTCCAGGGATTGTGGAGTCCTGGGCCAGTGTGGTGTCTGGAGGCAGTGAGGAAAAAACAAACCCAGACTTTAGAAGTTTGAGATATACCATAATAAATTTCAGGGGCTTCCCAGGTGGTGTTAGTGGTAAAGAACCTGCCTGCCAATCCAGGAGACGTCAGAGATGCAGGTTCGATCCCTGGGTTGGGAAGATCCCCAGGAGGAGGGCACAACAACCCACTCCAGTATTTTTGCCTGGAGAATCCCATGGACAGAGGAGCCTAGCAGGCTACAGTCCATAGGACTGCAAAGAGCTGGACACAACTGAAGCAACTACACACACATGCACACATACCTAACAAATTTCCTTCTGTCTCAAACTGCCCTGGGAGTGGATGCCCATTCATCCTGGGGTCCGGAAGGAAAAACATAAGAGTAGACCTGAGCCCAACCCACAGCCTAGACCAAAGCCACCCAGCCAAGCACAGCTTCTAATAGTCAAACTGCAGTCAACATGCAGCCCCAGAAGCGTGAAAATAAATGCCTGTTTCTGGGGCAACAGAGATTGGGGTTGTCTGATCTTTAGCATGCTCCTTCGGATGCACATCAGCTTCAGGTCCTTAGAGAAACCTGCACTCACCCTCAGAGAAGGTCAGGTCTCCGCTGACCTCTCTGATGTTTCCATGTGTCGACCCAATCAGTCACACATTTGATTGTGAGAGCTTCTGATGAACTTCTTTCCCCTGCACATGGGCACCTGTCAGTCTTGCTCCCAGCAAAGCAGCTCCTGGCCCCAAGGATTAGCACAGACTAGGTGTACACTCTATATTTCTTGAATAAACAGTGGATTGACAGCAGGCAGATTGAGGTGGGCAAAGCTGGAATACCTCTGCTTACCTGCATTTCCCCAGGTTTATAGGACCAGTTCTGGTTCTGGCTTGTTACATGAATTCATGTGGGCCTCAATTTCCTCATGTGGGTGCTCGGTTAGAACTACTTAGTCTAATACAGTAGCTACTAACCACATATGGCTACTGAGCATGTGATATGCAGGTAGTGTGAGTGAAAAACTGAACTTAATTCCATTCTGATTAATTTTAAACACCAATACTTGATTCAGTTATTGGAAAACTTTAGTATATTTGGAAATAACTTGATTATGTGAATCTAATTTTTCACCTGTAAATTTTATGAAAATACCAATCAAAGGTTTCTAATGAAAATTTGACCTCTGAATAGAGATGTAGGTATAAAATATACAAATTTCAAAGGCTCACTGTGAGAAAAAGAATGTAAAACATTTCATTAATGAATTTGTACATTATGTACTGAAGTTCTAACAGTTTGGCTCTATTAGGTTAAATAAAACATTATTAAAATTATTTTCATCTATTTTTTCCTTACTTTTTAAAAGGCGGCTACTGGAAAATTAGAAATTACATATGTGGCTTGCATTATATTTCTAGTGGATAGTGCAGGACCAGAAAGTCTCTAAGGTAAACAAGAGGTCAGAAGTCAGAAAGACATCATTTGAATCCAAGCTCAGAATTTCATAACTATGTGACTTTGGGCAAGTGTCTCTCCCCCTCTGAGCCTGTTTTCTTACCTGTGAAACGGAGATTGTTGTGCTTACCACACAGGTATGTGGTGAGGACCCCATAAGGAAATGCATGCACAGTGCTGAGCAGATAGCAAGCACTCTCTGAATGTACGCTATAATTACTATTATCATGGTGGTTTTCTGGACAATGCAAGCAAGTAAAGCCTGGTACAGCTTCCAAAGAAACACTCCAAGAAGCACTGGCCAAGCGTCCTCTCTTCCGCAGGAAAGAGGCCAGAGGCTCTCAATGATGGTTTTTAAATAGGACCACAAATTCTTTGACATTCCTTTTATCAAGAGGTAGAGCCTAATTCCTCTCCCCTTGAGAGTGGGCTGGGATTAGTGACTCACTTCTAATGAATAGAATAGAGCAAAAATGACAGTATGTGACATCCAAGACTAGGTGATAAAAGGCACAGTGGATTCCTCTTGGTTCTCTCTTCTGTATCACTCACTTTGGGGGAAGCCAGCCACATTGTCATAATGAGGTGACTATGGTGAGGAATGAGGGCTTCCTGCCAACAGCCATGAGTTAGAAATATTGAAAACAAATCCTCTGATCCCAGTCAAGCCTTCAGATGAGTACAACTGACACCTTGATGATAACCTCATAAAAGATCCTGAGACAGAAACAATCCAGCTTAGCCCCTCTCAAATTTCTCACTCACTGAACTCAAACGATAATAAATGTTCATTGTTTCAAGCTGCTCAGTTTGGGGGTAATTTGTTCCACAACAGTAGATAACCAGTAGACTCTTTTTTCACCCGATGGTTAAAGGTCTGCTCTTCTCTAAGGAAACGGACTCCAGTCTTCGGTCTGGCCCATCTTGGGGCTACAAGGGCCACCACAGGACCCACAGGCCAAGGCACAAACCACAGACACTGGGCCGGGCTGCCTATGTGCTCACAGGCTGTTTATTTATCCAAGAGTAAGGAGGAGAGAGAGGCTGAAGAGAACAACCTGATGCCCCAAGGTGGTGGAGCTGAGGGGAGAAATGAATGAAAGGCTTCTCTGTGTCTTGCCGTGGGCCCCAGGTAGCTCCAGCTTCAGGTGGAGCCTCTGGGGACAGTTTAGGGGCCTCTAGGAGGGCCAGGGGTTGTTAGCTGGGGTCAGGATCCCCACAGGGGCACATACTGGGCTAGGAATGGCTTCTGTGTACACAAAATATCTCTCCACGAAAGGCACTGGTCGGGGTGGGGGGAGCTGCAGGGACGCTCCCCTATCACTGGTGAGATCCGCTGTGTCCTGAGCTGGGTCTCTGCCTTCTTGCTCTTCTCCTCTCCCTTCCCTCAGCCCAGCAGCAAGCAGGCAATCAGCGGAGGGCAGGTCAGGCCATGCGGTGGACACTCCCCCTTCAGGGCTAATGCATCTGACCACCTCTAGGCTAAGAGTCCCAGACGGGTGACCTTGGCCGAGAGGAAGGAGTGGATGATGAACACAATGGTTTTGGGGCACGAATGCAGGTCCAGCTGCTACAGGGTGAACAGAGAGAAGGGTCAGGAGCCCACCCAGCCTGGCCTCCAGGAGAGCATCACCCCTCGACCCCCTCCACTCACAATCTCGCCTTCAGCGCCCCCGAAGTCCAGGAATAGGAGACTGGCACCGTCATCCGAGGACATCTGCAGCTTCTCAAAGGGCTGACGCAGCAGCACGGCTCGGGCCGCACCTGGCTCCGCCGCCCACAGTGTGAAGCCGTGGTCGATGTGCACGGAGAGACTGCAGGCACGGCC